TACAGGTCCCTCCGGCCCTGGTGCCCGGGGCTGCGCGTCATCTGCTCGTACTGCTCCCGCCCCACCACCTGGCACTTGTGAGAGATGGTCTGCACGTCGTTCTCGTCCTCATGGCAGGACTGGTACAGCGCGTTCTGCGGGGTGGGGGCGAGGGCTGCTCAGAGTCCGGCCTGGCTCTGCCTGTGCACCCCACCCGATTGGGCCCTCGCTTTCGGGAGGGCCACTTGGATCAGCTTATAACTGGCGGGGGGCCGGCGCCAAGGGCCACTTCGGGCTGGCAGAGTTGGAGAAGTGCTCGTTTCTGCACCGCCTGCAAACATGGTTCTTCCAGGGAAGATCAGAGGGTGCACTGGGATGTCTTCTGTTCTAGGGGGACATCGGGAGGCAGGGACCAGAGGGCCCGTGGGGTCGGGGGGTGGGGCAGATTCCCGAGGACAGGAACTGCTTGGTGCTACGAGGTGCTGTGGGTCACAGTACCCCCCACCCCCCACCAAAGGTGAAACCATCACTGGAGGCACAGCCAGGGAGGGACCCAGGTGGCCTGGCTCTGGGGCCTCAGCCCTCAGCCATGTTGCTTCCACCCAGGCCTGGAGGTGTGGGCACCGGGGTGCTCGCAGAGGACCACTCCCCTCGTCCGACCCCTCTGAGCCAGGCCCCGGCCCCGGCCCCGGCCCCAGCCCCGCCAGGCCCCTACCTTCCCGTCGCTCTGCCGCTTCCCCAGCTTGGTCTCCTCCGGGTGGTAAAACCACTTGACCTTCACCACCATGTTGCTGCCCCACGACTCCCACATGCTCTCGATGCGGCCAATGTAGGGCAGGTTGGGCCGCCCGGCTGACAGGAAGACGGCACAGTCCCCAACGCGAAGCGTCTCCTTGCCGCGGACGATGGCCTTGTAGAACAGCTTCCTGGCCTTACCCTTCACGCCCCGCCTCTGTGGGAGACACGGGGCAGCGGGCAGTGAGGGCCCAGGAGCCTCAGGACAGGCCGGGGAAAGGGTCGGGCGACGCAGGACAGAACAGCAGAGAGAGGGCACAGGAGAGCGTGTCTTGTGTGCAAGCGTGCGTGCTCGGGCACCTGCGAGGGCAGCGCAGGGCAGGGCAGCTGCTGCTCACGACAGCCACAGATCAGCACGGGGTCAGCCACTCCGGGACTGCCCTGCACCGCAGGTCCTGACAGCAAGGCCATAACTGACTCTAAAGAACCTTGGATCTGAAGGCAGGGAGGACGAAAACCGTGAACGACGCTGTGTCCAGCCACAGAGTGTCGGCAAAGAAAACGCCTGTGTCTGCGCAGCGAGCCCCGCGCAAGCCCGCGGTGTCGTTTACAGACCAGGAAAGACGCTCAGTACAACACCGCCAAGTAGAACCAAGCACGCGGCACAGGGCGGAGTCGGGGGGACCCGACACCCGGGAGCCGGGCCCACCTACCTGCGTGGGGTTCCCTGACCACTTCCAGAGCTGCCGGGCGGGCAGGAAGGCTGAGATCTTTGGCCGGTTCTCCACGGAGGGCAGCCGCTGCCTCCGGGACAGCTCTTTGGCTTTGGAGAAGCTCAGGGCCTCCTTGCGCTTGAGCCTGGGTCTGCCACCACTGGG